TCTCTGTATAATCCTCTCCCCATCTTTGAGTGAAGCCCTGTACAACTAATCTTGCCTTGAAACGTTCGATACTTCCATCCGATTTGTATTTAATTTTGTAGACCCATTTGCATCCGATCACTTTCTTTCTTGGAGGCAAACTCACAATTTCCCATGTTTTGTTTTCTTCTAGGGCCTTAACTTCTTTGTCCATTGCCTTAATCCATCGTTCATCTTTGACTGTTTGTGTATAACTGGTTGGCTCATCATGAGAATCGATGGCCGCTAAAAAAGCTTTATGAGTTGAACTAAATTTACTATAGCAAATGTAGTGTGTTAGAGAATGGGCCTTACCTGCGGCCGCCTTTCGGACTGAGTTCACGTTGGATGGTGGTATCATCACATCACACACATAGTCTCTTAAATATCCAGGCCGTTTTCTTTCTCGTTGGGGTCGCTCCTGTCGCAGAACTGATTGTTCATTTTCGTTTCTTTGTGGTGTGCTCACTGCAGCTTGGTCAGATGCATTCGTTCCTTGATGTTCTTCTGAATTTGTTTCCTCATTAGTTGCGTGGACCCCTTCCTCATTTGCACCTATATGCTGGTTGCCATTAGCCCCAACAAGACTCTTATCCCTAAATGGCTCATTTTCATCTTCCACAATCACGTGCTCCCCCTCACTTGGGAGTCGTTCTCCTCTTACTGGCTCATTGTTGTTGAAAGGAAAGACTTCCTCATAGAAATGTACATCTCGGAATGTGAAGATATCTCCTTTCTCCAAATTATACATTTTCCATCATTTTTTTCCATATGGGAAACCAACGAAAATACACTTCTCAGCACGTTCTCCAAACTTATCCCTTCCAATGCTTTGCCTTTTGGCATACGCAAGGCACCCAAAAACCTTAATGCGAGAATAATTGGGTATTTTTCCAAACAACACTTCAAATGGTGTGCGACCTCCCAGCACACTGCTTGAAGTGTAGTTAATTAGATGAACTGCTGCCATAACACATTCCCCCCAAAACTTCAAAGGTAAATTGGCTTGGAAGCATAAAGCTCTCGCCACATTGAGGATGTGTTGGTGCTTCCTTTCTACTCTCCCGTTTTGTTGCGGTGTCCCAACGCAAGAGGTTTGATGAATGATTCCTTGGCTGAGGAAAAATTCGTTGAGAGTCCCAAAGAATTYTGTTCCATTGTCACTACGAACWATCTTGATATCGACCCCAAATTGTTTCCTAACCATAGCACAAAAGGACATAAAGACCCTTTGAGTTTCTGATTTATCATGCAAAAGATATACCCATGTAGTACATGTAAAATCATCCACGATGGTTAAGAAATAATGGGCTCCTGAGAGAGATGGAGTATGATACYGACCCCATAAGTCACAATGTACTAACTCAAATGCATGCAAAGCTTTATTATCACTTAAAGGAAAAGGAATTTGTGTCTGTTTTGCACGATGACATATATCACAATACTCAATATAACTACCATTACGGTCAAAAGCACATACTCCAGATAAGTACGATAAATTTTTCTCAAAAAGATGTCGTAGACGCTTGTGCCATAATTCCTCTGTATTCTTCTTGGCGGCCATTGCAAGAGCACTATGTGTGTTTCGTACATAATACAAGCCATCCTTGAGATCACCCAATCCAATCAGCATCCACCGGGTGGAGTCCTGTATCACACAAACATTCAAATAGTAAGTAATAGCACAACCCATATCCTCACTTAACTTTCTTGAAGATATCAAATTACATTTAAAATCTGGAACATAAAGAACATCATTTAATTTGATATGTCTGTTAATCATGATGTCCCCTATTTTATTCACTTTCAAAGAATCCCCATTCGGGATGATGACTCTTTCGTCCCTTCCAGCCTCTCGAACATTCTCGAAAACTTTAAGATTACTAGATACGTGGTGTGATGCACCACTATCAATAATCCAATTTGATAAGTGAACCAAGGGAAATTTCTTACCAGACAGTGCATCATGGATCATGTTTTCTGAATCACCTGTACCCAATAGAGACATTAAACGATCAAGTTGGGCTTGCGTGAGGGACGACATTTGTATAGTGTTGTTTGATGCTCCCACTTCTTCAATGATATCCTTTGCCTCCACGATTTCCATTCCCTCGTCCTTGACCACGACTTGCTTTACCTCCGTTTCAATTCTTCCAGTGTTCCGGGTACCCGATGATTTCAAAGCAGCGGGATTTGTCACGTCCAGGTCTCATGCAGTAAGTACAGACTACGGGTAAATCAGTAGAGTCTCGCCCTTCTCTTGTTTGACCCCTTTGATCTAATTTACCTTGGCTTGCAAAGGCAGTAGCTTGTACCCTTGGATCTTCGTGCTGCCCTGCCTTTAATTGTAACTCTTCTCTTGATATCATGGCAAAGCAGCGAGTGAGTGAGGGTAGTGGGTCCATGCTTATAATGTTTGATCTAACAGTACCAT